GAAGGTGCACATTAGAGAGCCAAGACGATGGGGGGCCTGCTGGGGGAAGGGGGGCGGGAAGGGTGTCACAGAGGAATGGATGGGGGCAGCGGGGAGCGGGGCTACAAGGGAGCAGAGCCAAGAAGTAGGCTGGGGTGGTGGAGGCTGATTGGAATAATAGAGGAGAAAGCAATGTCATCATGTCTGGCTGCTTGGGTTTAATCCTGGCTCTGCTAATAGCTGTGTGTCTTGAGGCCAATTTCTTGACGTCTCTATGGTCATAGTTTCCTTTGAAATGGGGATAACTGTAGCTGCCTCCTATGATTGTTATGAAGATAAAATGAGTTAACATTTGTAATGTACTTAGAGTAGTTTTTGACCAATGAAATTAACAACTGGCATTAAGGATGGTCGCCAGCATCATTGCCATCACCTCTTGAGAAATGCAAATTACTGGGACATAGTCTAGCCCAGTGGTCGGCAAACTCATTAGTCAACAGAGCCAAATATCAACAGTACAACGATTGAAATTTCTTTTGAGAACCAAATTTTTTAAACTGAAACTATATAGGTAGGTACATTGTTATTAACTTAATTAGGGTACTCCTAAGGCTTAGGAAGAGCCACACTCAAGGGGCCAAAGAGCCGCATGTTGCTTGCGAGCGCAGTTTGCCGACTCTAGCCCCTCTGAATCAGAGTGTCTGCAAAAGGAGCCTAAGACTGCATTCTAACATCTGGCTAGAGGATGCTGGTGCCTCGCCAGCTCTGCAAAGCACTGGTCTGTTTCTCAGGCAGATCTGTTGATGCCTCTGCTTATTAAAAGATGCAGATTAGCCCTAGCCAGTTTGGCCCAGTGGATAGAGTGACAGCCTGTGGACCAAAGGGTCCCAGGTTCAATTCTGGTCAAGGGTACATACCTTGGTTGCAGGTTCCTCCCTGGCCCATGCCCTGCAGGAGGCAATCAATCAATGTGTTTCTTTCACATCGATGTTTCTGTCTTTCCCTCTCTCTTCCACTCTCTAAAAGATCAATGGAAAAATATCCTTGGGTGAGGATTAACCAAAAAAATTTAATTAAATAAATAAAAATAAAAGATGCATATTACTGGGCCTCACCCCAGACCTATTGAACTTAAACCTATAAGGGTTAATTCCCAGAACCTATCTTTAAAAAAAACACACACACACAAAACTACCCAAGTAATAAGTTTGAACAAAGTTGAATAGGGAAGAACAAAGAGACAGACTTCCTTAACTTACAAATAGGGAAGGGAGACCCCAAGAAGGGAGAGAACTTGCCCAAGGTCTCCCTGCAGGGACCTAATAAGCTGAGAGATTCTAAGGTCAAACTCCTCCCAGACACCCCTGCCTGCTACCCCAAATAGTCCTGTGGCCATAGGCACACTATCCTGTTTCCCTCTAGGAAGTCCTTGATAAAATTAGGCACTTTGGAAAAAGGAGTCAACAGGAGAGGGGATTCCGGGAGAGGGTCTGATCTCTGGGCCTCTTGGTTTGGCTGCCCCTAAGTTGGTTGCTGCAAGTTGGAGACCCCACTCCAGTCTTCTCTCAAAGAGGGGGCAGCTTCTAAGCCCAAGTGAGGTGACCTCTCTGAACTCATGGGAGAAGAACAGACCATCTTCTAAGGCTGTTGCATAACATATGTATTACCAATAATTCTACTTTTGACATGTAGAACAAGAGATGCTAATCCACTCCAACTGGAAGATGAGGAAGGACGCGGAGGGATGCCTAGTCAACACTTAACAGTGAAAGCCCAGGAGGGTCAAGAAGAGACAGGGACTGAACATGGGAGGGAAGAAAAACCCAGAGAGCGAGAGAGAGAAGCTTGGGCTCCTGATGATAATGATGTTGGCCATTTACTGAGAACTATATTTGAGGTAAAGTGAAAATTTTTAAAAGGAAAAAAGTTCACAGAGAGATATCTCAGCAGAACACAAAGAAAAAGACTGCCTCGCCTCCAAGATCCTCTGTTTCTTGGGTGACGTGTATATTTTTAGCTCTTACTAGACCAGTGGTTCTCAAACTTCCTAATGCCGCGACCCTTTAATATAGTTCCTCATGTTGTGGTGACCCCCAACCATAAAATTATTTTCGTTGCTACTTCATAACTGTAATTTTGCTACTGTTATGAATCATAATGTAAATATCTGATATGCAGGATGTATTTTCATTGTTACAAATTGAACATAATTAAAGCATAGTGATTAATCACAAAAACAATATGTAATTATATATGTGTTTTCCGATGGTCTTAGGCGACCCCTGTGAAAGGGTCGTTCGACCCCCAAAGGTGTCCTGTGGCCATAGGCCACAGGTTGAGAACTGCTGTACTAGAACACTTTTGTCCATCTGTAATGACATCCCAACCAGCACACCCTTTCTGCTAATCCCAGAGTTTCCTGGCTCCTTGAGCCTACCTAATAGCTCCTCATTACTAGTCACTGTTGCTTGCAATAATTATCAAGATGCCATTTGAAGCGGCCATCTTCCATTTCTGGGTTAAGTGTAAAGCTGACCCTCAAAAAGAAACCAACTGCCTGGAGCTGGCTGGGTCTGGACCTGTAGGTACAGAGTAGAGCAGGTGTTGTGGCTGTGCTCTGAGAGCTTTGACGTAAACCCATAGCAACTTGGCAATAGTGGCAGAACAGGCAGGGCTTGAGGAGTCTGAAGAGCCACCAAGGAAACCTCACCTTCAGCTGCTGTTGATGTGGTGCTGTTGAAATTGTTCAACACCCCTGGGGACACAGTGTTTACCCTGAAAAGGCCTCGATTGTACATTCCCTTGATATTAGGCACCTTGTTGGTTGTATATGGCAAGTAGTTTGCATTTTATTATAAATGTGATAAAAATACTTTTGGCCAAGTGGCAGAAGGTGAGGCAAATTTACTGCTGTGTAAAAGTAAATTTACTGTTGAGTGTGGTCTTTACCAGCCCCATAGACTGGTAAAGAGCACTCACATTGTTGGAAGATGTGGGAATGCATCAAATACTAAAGCCAGGCCTGGCCCTAGCTGGTTTGGCTCAGTGGATAGAGCGTCAGCCTGTGGACTGAAGGGTCCCGGGTTTGATTCCGGTCAAGGGCACGTGCTTGGTTTGCGGGCTCGATCTCCAGTAAGGGACGTGCAAGAGGCGGCCGAACAATGATTCTCTTTCATCATTGATGTTTCTATCTCTCTCTCTTCCTCTCTGAAATCAATAAAAATGTTTTTAAAAATGGGGAAAAAGCCGAAACCGGTTTGGCTCAATGGATAGAGCGTCGGCCTGTGGACTGAAAGGTCCCAGGTTCGATTCCGGTCAAGGGCATGTACCTTGGTTGCGGGCACATCCCCAGTAGGGGGTGTGCAGGAGGCAGCTGGTCGATGTTTCTCTCTCATCGATGTTTCTAACTCTCTATCTCTCTCCCTTCCTCTCTGTAAAAAATCAATAAAATATATTTAAAAAAATAAAAAATAAAAAATAAAAATAAAAATGGGGAAAAAAATAAAGTCAGGCCTGGCCAAGTCAGGGAACAAGCCACTGCTTTTGGGTAGAGACTGCTTCATGAACCCATGGAAGTCAGCACTTCGAAAGCAGAATTATTGATATACTCACTCATGTGTGCATGCTTGCACACACACACACACACACACACACACACACACACACACCATTCCTAGCACACACAGCAGCCCCTCCCTCAGATTTGCCCATATTAGCTAAGAGACTTTATCTTTTAGTTGCTCAAGTCGAAAGCACAGAACTTGTTGAGATCCATCTTTTTCTCTCATTTCTGGAACACCACATCCATAAACAAACCATTCCTGAGCAAATTCTGTCCCCAGAGATGTCAGACAATTTCCACAGCACCATTCTCTACCACCTCTAGCTCCTCCTAACATTTTAACATCTACAGATTCAGAGAGAGAGAGAGAGAGAGAGAGAGAGAGAGAGACAACCAGAAGTCCCCTCATACAATAATTTGTTCTCCACCTCTGTATCCCTGTCGGTACCAGTCACCTGTACCACTTTCGGATGAATTAAAGAAGAATTGGAATTTGTAAAACTCCATTTTTTTATTTTTTTCTAACTTTTTTATACTACTTTTACAATTTTGCTCTTAACGTGTGCTCTCTGCAAACCCCACCCAGCACCCAGAATCAAAGCAGTGATGGTAGTTCTCAGTGTCTACATTACTTTAGGTCAAATTAGGGGAAGCTTCCCCGATTATTCCACCAACACCATCAGCTTTCACATAAACATCTATTTCTCTGTAAGTTGAAAAGAATTGTCACCATCATTGCCTACCCAAAATATTCTCCTCTTTGACCAACTGTTCTAACATAGCACCCAATACTGAAGGCATCTGCTCTTATTCCGGTTCTTAAAGGGTAAGGTGTTTCCTCAAGCCCCTTGCAAAGCACTCTCTGATCATCTGCTGGGAGATGCCTGACTGTGGAGTCCTCCATGAGGACCCTCTAGTAAGGCGCTTCCTGGACACCAGGGGTGCGGTGCTGGCCTCTTCCTCCTGCTGGGCACCGTCTGCTGTGCCTCAGCCCCTCTGACAAGTTGACTCATTTGTCTGTGGGAAAGTGGGAGGCAGAGTGGGGGTCCCCAAATCTCACTAGACCTCAGCTGTCTGCTTTGGGGCCATTTTGTCCCATGGGAGTTGGTGAAGCACAGGGCTTGAATTGACGCCCGCGGGAGCTGGACCTATTTTCTGCAGCGGCCCCAGGTCTGGCCTGGGATGCTCGTCCCACCACAGTCGCCCACCTCGCGGCTTCTGAAGGCATCGCCCACCCGGCACAAAGCACCCAGGGGCAGGGAGCAGGGGAGCGGTGACTGGGCGCACAAAGCAATTCTGGTCGCCTGGAGCACTGTTCCCGCTCAGTGCAATCTGTTCCCGCCAGGAAATCACGGGTCCCCTGGCTCCTCCCACATCCTCTCCGCCCTGGCTCAGCTTCTCAGGCGACTACAATGGACCCGGAAAGGTGTGTGTGTGTGTGGGAGGTGGGGGTGGGGGGGGAAATGGAAGGACAGAATTGCCAAAGTCGGTCACTGAAGGTGGAAACTGCCTGTGGACCAAGTTGCGAAAGACGCAGTGGGGCACAGCAGGATCCTAGGGCCTGAAACTCGCCAATCTGCCCGCCCTTTCTGGCAAGCCTTTTGGCGGCAGCAACCTGGCCTTCTATTGGCCACAAGCTGTGTCCGGTGAGAAGCGCGGGCTTTCTAACTTCCTGCGGGGTGGCAGTTCAAGGGAGAGCCAGCTGCGCGCCATCTGCAAAGCTCCACTCCCACTGCAGCGGTCACTGGCACGGTTGGGGCAGATCCTCCGCTTCTGTGAGTGGTTCTTCTGCATTTGGGTGGGGCCTGGAGGTCTCAGGGGGTGATTGGCATGGCGGTATGGAGGGGTGGATAGGCAGCTTCCCATTGTGGGACCCCCTTCCTGCTCCCCACCTTCCAAGCTGAATACTTTTACACCTGGGAAGTCACTTGGAGACCGTCTAGGCAGCTGTTCCAACTGACACGCTGTGAGCAGTTCCAGAAGTCCTGCATGGTGATCCTGGAGGGTGGGGCCCCCTACTTTCCTTGGTCACAAGTCCACAGGGGGGGAGGCGATTCACAGGCACAAAGTGTAACCTGAGCCAAGCTTCTTAATTTACAAATGAGGAAACTGAGATGCCCAGCGGGGTGTAGGGAGAGAGTTTGCTGAGAGACACCCTCCAATTTTGTTGGTGTTGGTGGTGGTGGTGGTGGTGGTGGTGGTGGGGGTGGTGGGGGTTTCTTCCCTGCCTTTAGGGCGGTGGCCAAGTCGCACAGACTCCACCGCAGGAGCGGGCTGCTTGCTGCCGGCTTCGGGGCCTTTGGGTCCCTGGAAGCTGGTGGGGCGCAGGGCGTGGACAGCGCCCTCGGGATCCAGACCGCTGCCTCTGTGGGGTCTGGGCGATTTTCCACAGCGGCCACCCGGTGTGGCCCGGGATGCTAGTCCCTCCCCAGCCGCCCACTCGCAGTGCAGTGCCTGAAGCGCCCTGGGGCCGCGCTGGTGGGCTGTTTGCCCCGCAGCTCAGGTCCTGGACGCGCTGTTCCGCTCCTCGCCATTGCCAGGCAATCAGAGCCCAGGGAAAGCTCAGGGCCCCGGCTCCTCCCACACCCTCCCCG